TTTATTTCCAAAATTTACAACATAGTATACAAAAAAAAAGCTTGCAAAAGCTGCTATATGGAAAAAAATTTAAATCTAATTTTTATCATACAATAAAAATTATTAAATTGAGTTTGGCTTTACATAAAGTAAGCAACAAGTTTACAGTAGGTACAAAGAAATGTAAAATACAAGTCAAATTGACAACACAACACAAACACTTAAAAAAAAAATTTAACAATAAGGAAATATACAGTAGGTAGCCAGTAATAAATATAAACATTTTGGCAGTAAGTAAAATAATCATTTCTAAACTAAAATGGTTAGGGGTTCGTTAATGCAAAATTTAGAATGTATGGTTAAAAAATTCATCTATATTATAAAAAGTGTGAGTATGTAGCAGATCTTTAAGCTTATTTTTGTAAATATTTTCATTAGGACTGTTAAGCAACTCACGCGGTAAGTTGTTTGAAATTTTTATGCCCATGTAGCATGGGTAGCATATAATTTTTCACCTTCAAGTATTGGATTGATAGAATCTTATCGTGTGGGAAGATCTCAAGTGGTTGATATTAAGGCCTGCAATTTGGATTCTGTGAATTACAATATCGTGTCCTCGATGGTGTCCCTCAAGGATCAGTGTTGGGACCGCTGCTCTTCCTGGTCTATACCTATCAAAGACCTGGAGTGCAGCGACCCTAGTGCTAATTTCATACATTTTGCAGATGATTCAACCATTGTTAAGAGAGGCTTAGCTTCGGATGACTTGCAGGTGGGGATCATGGAAGCACAGTCAAACATTTCAGATTGGTTCATGGCTAATCAGCGAGCTAATCAGTTAAGTATGAACCGAGGAGTAAACCACTCTGCGCAATACTGTCACAAGCGCACGAAATCCCTGCGCAATCATGCGAAATCGCTCGCAATCGTTGCGAAATCAGGCGAAATCGGGCGCAATCCTTGCGAAATCGCGCGCAATCCTTGCGAAATCCTGAGAAATTGCCAGCAATCCCGCGAAATCACTTAACTTTGCGAAGTCGGAGCCTCGTTCAAATGCGGATTTCAAGGCTGGCCAATCAGAGCTATTCAAAGAAATTGGCGGGAAATTCCTGCTTCTGACTTTTGTAGTCGTAATAATCGTTGTGTAAACGATTTTATAATTATTGTGTTTCACCAGTGTCTGTATCAGTTATTGAGGGATTGATTTTCAAAATTATCATATACGGTGTGTCCCGCTTTTCATGAATACACTCTGATATCTCAGTTATTATTTATGCGATTTCATTCAAATTTTGTTGGTGTTTGTATGTTAGAAAAATGAACTATTTGACATAGTAAACATTTTCATTTACCATTGGCGTGCGATCTTGGGGGGTGGACAGTGGTTGTAATTTTATGTAAAAGATATTAGAGCTTATTTTAGATAATGTTTTGCATCAGATTAAAAATCAGCATCCCTAAAAACCCCTTAATTCATATTCCCAAAATCTCAAGAGATGATAAGAGCGAAAAAATAAATAAATTTATTTTAATTTAATTTTTCTAATGAGCTGTTTATTTCTAATTAGAAGGTAGCTATGTTGAAAATACAATATTCTAAAATAATGTCATCTGTAATTTGAGGTTCGCAATTAAAAATAAACAACTTATTCCAAAAAGTGAATTGATATCTATTTTTTTTTTGGTAAAATCAGCTCTTGAGAATTTGAAAATACATATGAATTAAGGGGTTTTTGGGGATGCTGAATTTTAATCTGATGCAAAAAAATATCTAAAATAAGCCCTGATATCTTTTTCCCAAAAATACAACCCCTTTTTACCCCCCAACACCGCATGCCAATGGTAAATAAAAATGTTTACTATGTCAAAAAAATTCATTTTTCTTCAAAAGTCAGAAAACCTGATATTTATTTACTTATTTTATGATGTTAAAGTTTAACTTTTATGTCAGTTGACAGTCACTATGGACAACGCAAGTAAAAGACTTTTTCCTACAGCCGTGCGAAAATCGATTTTCCGCACTGATATGCGTGCAGAAAATGAGTTTTCCCGCATGGTGCGGTAAAACTTTTTTTTTTGACATATCAGTGCGGAAAAAGTTTTTCCGCACGGCTGTCAGTGCGGAAAAATTTTTACCGCACTGATATGTCAAAAAAAAAAAAAAAAAATTTACATTTTTTCACCTGTAGGAAAAATATTGTACCTAACACTTGCGGAAAATATTTTTCCGCACTTGTTAGGTAAATAGCTATTACCTCCGCTTGTGAGCGGGAGTAAAAGTCTTTTACCTCCGCTCGTGAATATTTGCCAGAACAACGTAAAGATTGACAATTTGTCACCTAGTTGGTGGATTTTTCAGTAACATCATTAATATTTCAGAAAATTTCGATTTTTTTTCTATTATTCAGATACGTTCGAAGAAAAAATAACCTGTTCTATTCGGAGTAAAAGCTACTTTTGTGACTTGTCTGTATTGCCGGCCTCACTGCGTTTGGCAGGCAAACTTACAGATCGTCACAAAAGTATCACTTTTACTCCTAATAAAACAATATACTATTTTCTAACATAAAATCACCACCAAAATTTGAATAAAATCGCATTATTAATAACTGAGATATCGGGGTGTATTCACACACTGTATAATAAATACCACAAGAGAAAAAGTTTTGTTGGCAAAATTTTCGAATGTAATACCACAAGAGGTTTCAGGATTACCGGATAATACTTATACCTGTCACGAAACGCGTTACGCAGCAACACCACGACTCCGAAGGAGGAGTGATGTTGCTGGTAACGCGTTGAGTGTCAGGTAAAAGTATTAGGTAATCCTGAAACATCGAGTGGTATTCAAAAGGTTATACAACGAACTAAACTTCAATACTTTAAAATTTAAAGAAAAAAAATTATAATAGAATTTGCCATAAATGCCACCAAGCGCGATAATCCCAAAAGGCTTATCACTTATTAAGCCTCTCGTGTCATATGGAAATATAGTACAGTGAGTTGTATAATCGACTGGTATGAAAGTTTGTTGCTTGGCAAGTGGCAATTTCGCAATGACAACCACGAGCCGTCAGGCGAGTGGTTTTGTCAAAAATTTCATGAGCGAAATTACCAAAAAGCAACAAACTTGAATAAAACCAAGAGAATAATAATTTTGCCTACATAATTTTTTCTTGAGTGGTATTCGGCTAGACTATTTCGCGAGAAAAACAATAAGCCAAATTTTCATTTGGAAAATTTATTTTCTTTAGGTGACACTTGTCAAACTCACTAGTTTTTTACTCTAACCACACAAAATTTTGTTGCTGAAAAACCATCATGTTGGTTTTGGAGTTTTGTCAGTAGAAATCGGCCGTTCCTATGACATTTTGTCAGTGTAAAATACTCTACAGTTTATTTTTTCCCAAGATAAATTTTGACATTGTCAACTTTGAAACATAAACAATGCCGCTTATTGAACGCAAAATGCCATTTGCACGACATGCATTGTAACTGTGTCAACCTGCAGGGCTCGCTGCAGGGACACCTCATTTTGCGACCAATCAAGGCCAAGCGTTATTGCTTATGTTTCAAAGTTTTCAATGTCAAAATCTATCTTGGGATAAAATAGACTGTAGTGAAATGGTCAAGAAAAAATTAAAAGAATATTTGTGATTTGATTTCAATAAAAGAATTACTAACGTTTTTTTTTTTGTACCTAAAGTGTTTTTACTTGATATAGCTATAATATTCACTAAAAAAAGTCCTAAATAAAATACTTTAAATTAGGAGAAATCCCGCGCAATCCCGAGAAAACCTGCGCAATCACGCGAAATCCTGCGCAGTCACGCGAAATCCTAGGCAAATTCGAGAAATCCCGCGAAATCTTGTACAATTCTGCGAAATCCCGTGCAATCATTACGAAATTTTGCGAAATCCCTAATTTTGCGCAATACTGTCACATTTTTACCCTAGTAGTTTACCCCTCGGTATGAACGTATGAACGCATCAAAAAAACAAAAACTTTACATCTCTACTCGAAATATAGATTTGCATTGTCCAAATGAAACAGTAATGTTTTTAGGGGTGAAACACATCGAATATATATGTTCAATAATTTCTTCTGGAGTTTTTGCACTTTGAAGTTAACCTAGAAATGTTTCTCCGGTGGTTGCTAGATCAGTATATTTTGAGTGTGTCCATTCTAGGGTATTTTATGATATCCTAATCTGGGGGCATGCCTCTGATGCTAGCCGTGTTTTTTCCCTCCAGAGAAAGGCAATAACGAGGGCAATAAGAATCCTACAGGATTTGCACTACAGTGCTGATTGTAAAATGTATTTTTCCAGACTAAATATCTCAACAGTTCCTTGCCTATATATTTTTAGCTGCTTATTACATACTTATAGAAGCAAATCTTGGAGATTATAAAAGGTTTGAAACTCGGTTTGAAAAAGTTCACTCCCACTTAACTAGGAATAATAGCAACTTATACACTGATTTCCATTGAATAAATCGTATGAAAACATGGGTATCTTTCTATGGACCTCTGTTTCATAAAAAAATTCCCCTTCCACACAAGGTCCTTACCGATTCAAGGCTTCAAAACAAGAATCAAAGAGTACCTTATTTCAAGTAGTTTTTATAGTATACATGAATACTTATCCAATAATTTCAGTGATATCACCTAATTACTATTAACCTAATATCTCTTTTTTTTTACTTGTGTAAAACTTTTGTTATGGCACCAATAAATATTTTGTATATTTATCAGGATATTTATGTAAATAATTATTGATACATTTTATATAGTTACTAAAAGTATATTTTTAAATATACAAATTTCACTTGTCTTCAATAGGGTTTTTGAGCTTTAATTTACGTTTGTGTTGGAACATTTAATTTGCTCATAATATCATGCTTTAAATAAACTACCTAGTAATACCTACATTGCAAAAAAAAAAATCTGCAATCTCTCATATTAATTTCAAATTGACCTGACGTTTAATTAATTAATTAACAATTATCATTTATAATACCTTGATAGTGGCCTTTTCCAAAGATTCATTATGGAGTGCATGATCTTGAGAATCCATACCCAATTATGTAGGACTTAAATACCAGTATTCTTCTGTGGATGGTTGAGACATTAGGACAAGATTCTAGAAACAGAAACAGAAATGTTTTTCTCATTTTTGTATTTTATATACTCGAATAGTAGGTAGTAGTATAAGTACTACTAAACAAATAAATAAAATAGGAAAATATAATTCTATTATTGCTTAAATATTATCTACCTTCAATTCTTTGTTAAGCAACCTTATAAATTTTAATTAGTATTTATTTGAGTAGGTGCAGGTGTTTTTATAATCCAAATATGGTTCAAATTCGAGTTAAAATTAATATAAATAATTTAGATTGTATCTGCCTCAATTAAACTCACCCTTGTATCTCGAATCACGATTTCACTATTTATAATCCTTCCTGTGCTGTTTTGTTGTAATTTTCAGATACATTTTATGAAAAAAATCATTATTGATTTTATTCGGATTTGGATCTGAAAGGTTATGTATAGGCGGAAACTGGAAAGGCGTTTTCAATTCAATTGAGTATTTTAATTATGTGATAAATGACAACATCCGGTGTGATAATTCAGTAGCCATTTTTTCTACGTGGGTTGATTAGTTGATTTGAATATTTAAAAAGGCAAATTATGTGTATCAAAGTACTAGTTTTGGGTCTGAGTTAAATAGTAAAAATTAGTAATTATTTTATCTTATGATTTTTCCATTTTTTGGGATCGAACATTTTATTTAAGTCGTTCGAGTGAAGAAGAAAGCACCTCTAGAACAGGGAACAGGTACGTCGGCTGAATGCACCATAATTGCCGCCATTCCATGTGTTTTGTTTGATTTTTGTCTATTTTCCTTTTCAGTTCCAAGTAAATCCAAGTTCTAATACTTCCAATCAAAGGCTAGTAGTTAAAACTATCTAAAACAGGAAAGGAGTAAAAGCCGGAATATTGGGTAAATTGCGCCACTACATTTAGTTATTTATAGTACCTACAAAAGAATTTTTCAATCTTCACTCTTTACTTCCCCAGGAAATTTCACTTGAAAAATGTTCAACCAAGCAACCATGGGTGGTTTTGGGGCCAATACGGCGGTCACCAACACAAATCCCATGAAGGATTACGAAGTGGTTCAACCGCCAGACGATTCCATTAGCTCTTTGGCTTTTTCTCCGGCAGCCATACCTCAGAACTTCCTCATTGCCGGTAGCTGGGACAACAACGTGAGATGCTGGGAAATTGAGCAGAACGGAACTAGCATTCCTAAATCGATGCAGTCTTGTGGAGCGCCAGTATTGGATGTGGCTTGGAGTGACGATGGCACCAAAGTAAGATTTTTTGTTTTTATAAATTTTGTGTTGATTGGGACCAACAAGCAGCCAGCAACAAAATGATCAAAGTAGACCAGCTCGTTACTGGTAATGATTATCATAGTCATAGTGTATATTCTTTCAAATGATCAAATCGCTGGTCAAAGAGTTTAGAATAGATACAGTTCCCCAGGGTTATTTCACCACTAGAACCGTAAATTTTTGGGGCCCTAGGCTCGGCCCTATGCTATTCGAGATTTGTGGACTCCTGATATTTGTGGGCAGTTTTCTTTTTTTTAGAATAAAACTAAACCATATTATATCCCTGTCTGAAATGTATTCATTTATTTACAAACTCAACAGATTTACATCCAATAGGGTAGTAGTCAATGAAATTGATGATCTATTCTACATCTATGAAGTAAATAAAAAATATAGTAAAAGAAGTTTCAGATAAAATTACTAACCTTGTTTAAAAGAGTTGTGAAAGTAGAGTTTTGGGATGCACTATTTAAACGGAAATATTTCGCGCCTTGATTCTACATCATAGCTGAGATGAGAGGACACGATCAAAAGCTTTCTAAAGAAAGATGCAATAAGCTCCTGAGGAGAAATTTCCTCAAGAATAGAGTTGTTTACAATTGGAACCGCCTGAGCGCTGAGACCATAAACTCTACCTCCAAAAATCAGTTTAAGCATCGCCTCGACCAGGAAATGACAATCTGGGCCATAACCTCCTTTGTGCACTACTATAGACCATACAATCAAAACTAAGAATGCGATAGCTGTCTGCGGCCGCCCCTAGTTTTGACCGCCCGCATGCGGGGCACGCGCTGCACACCTGCTAGGATCGGCCCTGGCCTCAAAGTTGGAATTTTGCCTAAATTTCATCCAAAACTTCAAGTTGAAATTGCTGAAAAACCACTAATGGTACAAATATTTCTCAAATACCACATCAAAGCATTCAGTAAGAGCTACAATCTCAGAAAAATTTGGCACGATACCTCTTATGGATATTGAGATATTACCTCTTCAATTATAACAGGTATATAAGGTAGAAAACACTTTTGTTGGATAATCTTGTACATACATAATATAGTGAAATGAATGTAATTAAGTAATAAAAAATCAATCGGAAAATTTCAAATTTCCAATTTCACAGTCTGGAAACTCGTGTAAAATTGCCCTTTCATTGCTCAAAAACACGACTTCCATAGCCAAAATAGATCAAAAAAGCTATACAAATCATGAAAACAAATTTTTCAAACTTGAATTTTGTATCTGGAAGTTGGAAGTTGATCTGAGATCTTTTTTTCCTGAAAAAATTAACTCAAACTTGAAACATTGAAAAGCCATCTTTTCCCCAATTTGGAAATAGGTCTGATTCTTGATTCCAATGTCCAAAATGAAAAAAACTTACCAGGATTTTCACCATGACTGCATATAATTCTGGATTCCAGTCACAAGTCTTGCAGATTTAAGCTTAAAACTCTCGGTTATTAGTGCTGCCCTATAACAAAAAGTTTATAATTTTAATAAAGAAAGTTGTATTTTCAATAACTTACCTTGTTAAGTTTCAAAATTGTAACTTCAAGCCCAATTTCCACACCACCCTAGAGGTACGAGCTGTCGGTGCGTTTTTTTTTTCAAGTGCTTTCCCCGTTAGGCCTAATGCACTTTGAAATTACACTGTCAACTATCCAATAATTCAACCTTCAGTCGCTAGCTCGGTCGCCAGCTAGGAAGGCACCACTGCAAACACTTACCATGCTTATGGTGTATATTTAGTGCAACAAATGAGGTCCAAAACAACTATGGCATTAGGCTCCCCCGGGGCTTCCCTGCTTTAAAGATTCAGTCGAATCATGAACTGTTTTTCGGGAATTGACACATATGTAATTTCACCTGGAAGAGAAAAGTAATAAAAGTTTGGATCCATGCAGTCACGTCCATCATTGTCCAGTCAGTTGTGGCTACGTCTACTATTGTCAGTCATTTGTTTCAATGTCCACAAATCCTAGTTATTTGTCCCATATCTAGAGTGGCTGTACAATGTCCAAAGTAATGATAAACTTAGCCTTTATTGATCCATTTGTATCATATCCATGACCAAAACCAGCTCATCACTTCATGCAAAGTCTCTTCATGGTTCAAAATTTGGAAAAGGGATGTCTGGAAAAGCAACTTTATGTTAGTGAAAATTTAATGTTTTATATTAAAAATTACTTATTTATTCAGCTTCCAATATCCAACACCCAAAATACTAAAGCACTAATGTAGGTAGGTACAATAGAACCCCGGTTATCCAAAGTAACGTGGACCTCGAATACGGAGTATGGACCTCGGATTTTTGGGTCTTTAGACTGGCTCGATTAATCCAGAGCTCGGATAATCAAGGTTCTATTGTATATGTGAAAAATGTACTATTACCTTGCACTTACAAACCACAATTAGGATTTTTACCAGAAATAATTAATAGCCTAATATTCTACTTGGGCTCAGAATCATTCTGGACTTTATTGGGTAACAGCTTACCTGAGAAATAGAAGTGACACAATTTTTATGGATATCAAACGAAAATGCACTTTTATACAATTTAATTTTTTCTGGAAAACTACTAGAGGGAAAATTGTGAAATTTTCAGGAGAAAAAGAGGAAAGTTAGGAGATCATCAGACTAAAATTTCAAACTTTTTCAGTGAAAAATAATAAAATGGGAAATTGATGAATATGTACTTACCTTTGTCAAAAATCCATCTAGAAGAAGATTCTTATTATAGACTCTTAGAGTCATCCGACGACTTCTGGATTCTGTTTGTTTACAGGAGGGCTCACCTGAAAACAATAACACAGCAGCAGAAAAAATTGTTCATGTATATACAGGGTGATTAACGTAGCCCCTGCATTGGATTGCAGGTGGATTACATACACCATCTCTATTAATCCACCTGCAATCTGGAAAATTTAATGCACAAAGCAAGAAAAAGTCCTCAAAATTTCAACTCTTTACTCACTTCAGTTTTTGAGTGAAAAAATTGTTTGTAGAGTATTACTTTACAAAACATCATTATTTAAAATATTTGTGGTTCAGAGTAGCCTTTTTTGGCTAGACTGCGCCACTCATTTTCACTCTTGTTTTCATCTAGATTGTACAATGTAATTTTGAAAACTTTTAATAAAGGCATTTATTATTATTATTATTATTATTAAAAAAAGTCATAACTCCATTAATAATAACTCAATTCAATCCCTTTTTGTTTTTAGTATTTTTAACAATGAATCTTCAGGAGAAAGTCCTCAAAATTTCAACTCTACACCACTTCAGTTTTTGAGTGAAAAAATTGTTTGTAGAGTATTACACATGATAGTTTACTAGAAAGGTACAATGTAGAAAATATCGATAAACATGGAATCATTCTTCAAGAAAATAAATTTGAATTTTGTATAGTTTATGTTAAGGAACTTGATGTTTGGATTGTTTGTGTGTATAGGCCTCCATCAGGTAATCCCCTAGAATTTTTAAGGTCATTGGAAACTCTCCTTTCGAAATTTCCGATAACTGCAAAAATTATATTAGCGGGCGATCTAAATATTGACTTTGATAGTAAGGACTCCAGAGATACGAAATCTTTAATAAACCTATTAACATGTTTTAATCTTCACACTTTTGTGAATGAACCCACATGTATTACTAACCACTCAGAGACAACAATCGATTATATCTGCAGTAACATCGACGAGGGTGATATTATTTGTAGAGTAACTCCATCAGATCTTTCTGATCATGAGGCTCTATTTTCAGAAGTGGTGCTACACCATGACGAGCAAAAAAAGGTGACAAGGGAGTCTCGAATCTTTAGTACAGCAAATTATAGGACTTTTCGAAACGAGGCGGAAACAATTAACTGGGGCAACATTAAAGATTCGGCAAATCCAATTACTACATTTCAAAAAACAGTTCGAAATATTTTTAGCCGAAGCTTTCCAAAGCGAAAAATTAAAAAAAGGAAAAGAAAGGTGTGGGTGACAAGAGGTATTAAAGTATCAGGTAAAAATCGTCGCTCTTTGTACACAATAAAAAAATTTATAAACTCTGACTGGAAAAACACAACGGAATTGCAACAATCTGACAATAAATCCGACAGATCTTAATCAGTTTTACTGCACTATAGCGAGCAAGCTGACAGATGGCATTGAGCGAAAGAAGGATCCACTAAGTTACTTATCAGAGTACCCTTCTACTGAGACATTCAGGCTTAACCCGACAAACAGAGATGAAATTAAAACGGTTATAAAAACCATTAAAAAACAAAACTCCTCAGGAGAAGATGAAATAACTTTGAAAATCTTCAAACATCTACCTGATGAAGCACTCACTGCACTCGCTGACTGTATAAATGAATCGTTTGTCTCGGGAATCTTTCCGGACAGTCTTAAACTGGCAGTAGTTATTCCTATTTTTAAAGGGGGAGACAACGAAGATCCGTCTGCGTACCGTCCAATATCGTTACTGACTACGCTATCAAAAATTATAGAAAAGATAGTGAAAGTGAGAAGTGAGTTACTTAAAGGCCCATAATGTTCTGACACCGGATCAGTTCGGATTTCAGGAATCAAAGGGGTGCAATGATGCCATATTTACGTTTCTGGAGAGACTCTTTTTTGCTCTCAATGATGGTGAGAAAGCTGCGGCAGTGTTTTGTGACTTTTCAAAAGCTTTTGACTGTGTTAATCACGAAATACTGCTGCGGAAAATGAGCCACTACGGAGTCAGGGGAACGGAGTTGAGCTGGTTTAGAGCATACCTTTCGGATAGATCCCAGCTAATAAGAATTCATGGTAAGGATAATTCAAAGACGCTAAATTTAACCCATGGGATTCCTCAAGGGTCAGTTCTTGGGCCGGTTCTCTTTTTAATTTAGATTAACGACCTGGCAGCACTGTCAATTTTGGGAGCTTTTGTAATTTTTGCAGACGATACAACCATACTTTGGCAACACAAAAACAATTCTTAACACG